CGCCCCCCCCCCCCCATCCCTGCAAAGGGGCGCGCGACTCTCACCTTCCCTTCTCACCCCTCTGAAGCAGAGGGGAAGGGGGGGATGAGAGTCCAAGGTGAGAGTTGTGCGCCCCTGAAGCAGGGGGGAGGGAGGTGAGAGTCGAAGGTGAGAGTTGTGCGCATATACATATATGTATATATGGATATATGTATATATATTATCTTGCCGAATTCTTATTTAAAAGAATATATAATTTTGACGAAAGAGAATTGATACCTTTTTTGAAATTATGAGTATGATGTATCCATTAGATGCTTTAAATATTGAATAAAACTGTATCGATATAAGACGCCATTTTTGAAACTTTGATTATTAATAACTTTTTCACGGAGGGCGAGCGACGGCTAAAACCTGTTGGAGATCACTCAGGGTCATGACCTTAACAACATATGTCAAGCTCGGGTTCATTGGAGGGAGGTCCCCCAATCGGTACTTTTACCCAAAAATTATATTAATAAAAATAACGTTTTTACATTTTTATTGGCGCCAGACTTGTATTGATTGTGCTCTTTTACGTGCCATGGATACTGTTAAGACATTTTTACTTCCTTTGCTTCTTTTACTTCCTTCGTATATTCAAGCTTCCTTCTTTAATTTCGAATATGTACATAGTTATAGAGCACGCAGAGATAAGACTGTATCAATGTCTTATAAATATTTGACAACAATAGTTAATGTATTGCAAGGATACGAAAGTGCCTACTTTATCTGTTAGTATACCTATAGTTATACTACAGTTATAGATTTTCAACCTAGTAATTCTTAACAAGTATAATTTAAATTGTCAATAAGATGTAAATGTTAAAAATTTATTTCTACATTTGTCAAGATATGAAACGAAAATGAGTAGCTTTTATATTACCGACATAAAAATATGCGGCGGAACAATCTTCAAATATGTTAGAATTTCTTTTCGATTGAATATAAGTGAAAACGCATTTAAAGGAAATCTAATATTACTGGTACTTCATTAAGAGTATGAATATATTTACAGTAATATATATATAAATTATTATTTTAATATACTAAATATTATAGTTATATTCTCTATAGAGTCTAGTTATTTCATAGAACAATTTTTAGACATTTGTCATCTGTGACATATGTAGATAGACTATTTTGACTAGTGAATTTTCTACTTATGATGAGCTAACAATTATCATTCTAAAATTCGTACTGTTAATACTTCTGTCAAACGAGCCCATTACGCGAGTTTTGAGATATATTTCAGAATAATCGAAAGAGTATTTTTTAATTTTGTTATTTTTAATTATGTCTTCAATTTGTCAGTGAAAAATTGCGAATAAAACTAGATTTTTTTTCGTGATTTCGAGACATAGCAATGTATGGATAATGTATAAGTGTAAAGCACAAAAACAATATATTTCAACAGAAAAAAAATGAGTTTGGAAGAATATCATTGTAATATAAAATTTATTAAATTTTAGCAAAAATATTCTATTATGTATAACGAACACACTTCATCAACTCAGGAAAATAATGGAATCTTGTAATTACGCGAATGAAAAATAAAATTGAAAAAATTAGTTTCACGCAATTATGCCATATTAAATTTTCAAAATTGACAATCTTCAAATTCCGATAATTTTCTTCCAAATCAACGATGTTTTCTCTGTTGACAAGAGGAAACGTTATAAAACACTTAAAGCCGTAGAAAATGATAAACGTTGTGGTTTATCATTTTCTCAATAATCAGTGGTTATAATTAGTCTCTGTTTATCGAATAGTTACAGTTTATATAGCGAAATGCAAATAATAATTAATTGTACAATAAAAAATGCTCGAATCCGTAATTTGCAATGCAATAAATACGGCATTAGTTGAAAGATTAAAAAATAATTTGCGTGTGCGGCGAAATTTATTATACAGTACGATTTTATTAATAATAATTTCGATATTTTTTCAAATTATTTTTGCTATTATTTTGCGTTGTGTACGAACACACAAACACGATTTAATTGCGGTAAAATTAAATATGCAGTCGATTATCGAAGCTTTAGAAAATACATTGAGGAGCAATGAAATGATATGACAAATATCGTATTATGTGAAATTATCTAAAGATCTATTCATATGAAAAATTCAAAGAAAGCAATTTGTCAATAAATTCTGGATCGATATGTGTTGTTTGACACTTGTATGATTTTATATTGATTTCTGCAACTTCAAATGTAACAAAACGTACTGTAGTCTCACATGGTCGAACTTATTATTTTAAATATCTGTGATATACAATGGAGAAGATATGTACGTGAAAAAAAAATAAAACTTTTATCTTATTAAAGTGTGTTTGTCGTTTATATATATATTCTACTCCTTTGCATACATAGTAATTTATTTTTGTAATGTGATTTACTTGAGTTTAAGTTCTTTTGTTACGAAACAAAAACACTTACGTTAAAACTTTTTCAGCTAATTTAGCGATATAAATATTATCGTAAATATATTTTATTTTATATTGAATTAAGTGTCATTAAGTGTCATTAAGTGTGATTAAGTGTGTTTTTAACGATCATGGCTGATAATTTTTTGGCAATACCCGAAAATTAAAGCTAGCGAAGATACGCCCCATGAAAAGGAAGCAGAAGAAGAGCTTTTGACCGCTGCTTTGATTGTGGTGGAGTGGGGGTAAAAAGCCAGCTTTTCTTCGCTGCATGAAATTGCACCTTGATAGCAAAACATCGCTAAAAGCTGAAATACATGACATGTCATGTCATATATTCATTTGTAGAACATAGCGATATAAATATTATCATAAATATATTTTATTTTATATTGAATATAAAAATGAGCTCGAAACTAAAATGAGCTCTAATTAAAATGAGCTCGAAACTATGAAATTACAGTGAAAGAATACTCTTTCTTGTTCGCGTTGTGTGAATATTTTTATCGTCAAATCGTATTATCTACAACGAGACCATTGGTTAAACACAAAGGACGTTCTACATTTTGTTACGCTCGAGCGATTTTTTTATTCGTGGCCTCTTCGAGAAATTTAGTAACCCAAATGTAAGCTGTTATTCAAATGAAATCCATTAAAACAAAATACATAAAAGGCAGTAAACCACTAAGGCTCGGTGTTAATAGCTAAGTATATACATTATATCAAGAAATTACAAATTATCATAGATGTCTCGGTCTTAAATTATTCCTCGCAAGAAGGATTTACTCTGAAGAATCACTATTTCTATATAGAGAAGAATTTGATTCACAGCAAGAATATGATTTACTTTTGTTGACTATAAAAAATGTTTATTATTGACTTCTGTACGACTAATTTGCGAGTTGCTTTGTATGCGAAACATTCACTTTCTATTACTGAAAATGGTCTAATTTAAGACCGAAACGTCTATGATAATTTGTAATTTCTTGATATAATATATATACTTGGCTACCAACACCGAGCCTTAGTGGTTTACTGCCTTTTATGTATTTTGTTTGATTATCAACCACTGTTTGACCTAATTTGCGAAATTCATTATTCTATAGAAATTAATTTGTCGATTCTTTTTATCCGTTTTCACCCAGAGAATTTTTATACAACGCGTATTTTTCAGTGCCTTCCTATTAATGCATCTTTAATGAGCGCGAAACGATTGATAATAATATGGTAAAATGGTACATTTTTTTGAGATATTATCGAACGGTATTTTATGATCAAACAATCGCTCATTAATTTCTCATTTTCAAAATTGCAATTAAATATGAATGTATATCATTTACTTTTTTTTATCTAAATATCTTGATCTTTCATCCCTTATATATAATTCTTTGCATTTTTCGTTATATTTGCCGGATTGTACCTTATTACCTTCCTCATTTCTTTAGATTCTTTTCATAAATGCTAATACATAATATGTACGTAATGTTTTGTTATTTTTTTCGTACATTCTGTATGAAAAATGTTGTTTTTATTGTTTTTTCATACATTTTGAAGTAGCAAAAACGCAAACTTTTAATTTCACTCTTGACATTTCAATTTATGCTACTAAATAATAAATGCATTCCTCGGTAATTAGAATGGAACCACGATTATTAAATTAACTGAATCCCTAGATATTTTCACTCAAAGCATCATTTGAAAATATCGCAATAATATGATTTAATATTAAATAGCGTAATCGTATTTTCTTGTGCCTATCATAAAAGCATTTTGAATTATTTTATTATTACGCTGTAATATATTATATGTTCCCGTTATAATACATCATTGTTAAAATATAATACCCTGTTTAAAAAACAAATGACAGTTCTGATTATGATTGATTATAATGACCAAAAAACCGAACTGCTTTTATTACGAAACAATGCATTTGGCTCTTGCTATTCTATTCAATGCTTCTTTTTGGTGTTTATTCCGCATTGATTCAGGATGACTGGCATCATCTTTCATTTAAGTGAAACGGAAGTGTTTACTTTCTTATCTTCATCGTTTAGTTTCTGTTTACAAATCAATCCGAATAAATCAGCTTTCTATCATATTCGAAAATAACTTCCCTTAAGATTATATTTCAATTTGTTGTATTATTAAATAATAACTAAATTCCTTGATAATTATAATCTGTAATATTGTATTTCATAATTAGGTATATAATTAGATTCGTATTGACAAGGTATTATCGACATACTAGATTACTAGAATATACTTCGATGAAATAAACCGCTTACTTTTATTGTTTTATATCCGTTCCACTCTTCATGGTCACGTTTTCATGGGCAGAAATAGGTCGTATTGAAGAGGACCGTAAAGCACAGAGTCGACGGTGCTGCAAGCTTGACGTGGCAGTAT